CTTGAAGGCACTAGACAATGGTTATTTGAAAAACTCGACACTTGGTTTAACGATAGAAGTGAAGATGCTTCCAATGTCATGATTTTGATTGCCGGTCCAGGCGTTGGTAAAAGTGTGTTTGCTGCTGAGGTGTGTCTACGATATTCTGAAAAGAAGAAACTTGCTGCTTGTCATTTCTGCAGATATAATAGATCAGATTATAGAAATCCTCGAATTTTGATAGAATCACTGGCTAGTAGCATGTGTGATACAATGTCAAATTTTAAAAGTAAACTGAATGAAGAATTACAGAGAAACCATTCCAAAGAATCGATCACCGACGCATTCCGTGTTTTATTAAATGATCCATTGCATTCATTGGAAGATCATGAACCAATGCTTTTGGTTATTGATGCCTTAGATGAAAGTCAAGTTGAGGGCAAAAGTGAATTATTGGAATTGATTACTGATGAATTTGGCCGGCTGCCTAAATGGATTAAAATCTTCATCACCAGTCGTCCAGAACTTCCTGTTAAAATACAATTGAAAGACATGAATCCTGTAGAAATAGAAACTCAACCTCATGATAAAAAGAACAAATACGATCTGTGCAAGTATTTAGCACATGAGTTGAATGTTAATTTCATCATTGCTGACAGGTGGCACGAAGACAGTGATAACGGTGATGACAGTGATGACAGTGATGACGATTATAACGATTACAAGGCCTTTTGTTTATTAGTTAAAAAATGTGAGGGTTCGTTTCTGTACGCTTACCACGCACAAGAGAGTTTAAAAAAAAACAAAACTGAGCTAACTGTCGAGAATATTGAACAATTGTTTCCTACTGGGTTGAGTAAATTTTACACTGAACACTTCAAGAGATTAAATAAATTATTGAAAGAAATAATTTTATCAACACACAAAACCGTTATTTCCGATGAAAACTTTACGGAATGTCTTGAAATGTTGGTTTCTTATGAAAGTATTTTTCCTTTGTCTTTTCTTTTTCAATGTTTGGGTTTTTCTGATGACATGAAGTTTAAAGATCGTATTAAAATACATGAAGTGCTATCTCAATTTTTTCCAATTTACGATGATTATATGACCGTGTATCACAAGTCTCTCATTGATTGGCTAAAATCAGATGGTTATGAAGAGCATGAGTTTACAGTTGATCCAAAAAATGGTCATAAGTTGTTATGGCATGCTTGTGAGAAAGTGTTCAAACACATCAAGTCGATGAACATTTCTGAAGATCAGATGAACACTGCTATGATTAAATATGCTTTGAAGAATGGAATCTATCATATGATAGAATGTGGCGAAAATGTTGACTTTAGCTGGGCAGTAGATGTCAAAGTGGCTTATGCGAGGTTAATGGTGTTGGGAAAAATTGATATGTTTACCATTAGGTCTAAATTGTTTGAAATCATTAATGAACGACGTACTTTCTTGAAAAACGATGTTCTTGAAGAAGCACTAATTCAATTGCTTACGACACATGAATATGCGATGCAAAAGTATGATGGAAACTTTTTTTATTTACAAATTACTGCAAACAGAATCGATTGCAGTAACGAAAAAAGATTATTGGCAAGGGATTTATTGAAACAAGGAAAGCTTGTTTGGTTTGAGGATTTAGACTCAACATATTTAACAAACCATCATCATTCGACTGTCCCCTTGCGTGCTAACGTTACATCTCTTTGTGTGTCGTCCAATGAAGAACTTCTTGCTGTAGGATATGAAAATGGTCAAATATCTATTTTTGAATTTCCTGAATTTAAACAACGATGCACTCTAGGCGCTGCACTCGATGATTCAAAGTTGGAAAAGTTGGATAATGTAGAGAGATTTTTGTCCCTGTATGACAGCTATGACTATCGAACATTAATGAAAGTTCGTTTTGTACGTGGAAACATCTGTTGTTGCTCCTTTTCACCTACCGGAAATAGACTGATAACTAGTGATGGATCTACTGAAGTAAAGTTGTGGGACGTAAACAATGGACGTTTGTTATTATGTTTACAGTCAGATGATGTCGTTAATCGTTGCTCTTTCTCAGATTCTGGTTTGTTTATTACAGCAAGATATGATGGAATTTATCCTAAAGATGTGTTTACTGCATGGAATTCATTAACTTTGCAAAGAATTGATCGACGCTGCGTTGTTGATTACCAAGAACTACAATGCACCGATAAATATTCAGAGCTCTTTGTTGCAGAATTCGTCGAGACTTTGTACGTTTTTCAATTCCCAAAGGCAATCGATATTTTTTCAAGTAAAAAGAAATATTCACCACCTCCACATATAAAGACAACACACCATTATCGTGATTGTATTTTTTATCATACAAGCCAGAATGGAAAGCTTTCTGAAATCAGTCAGTTGACAAAATACAACGATCAAGGAGAAATCGTGTTTCATTTACCATATGTTTGGTATCCATGTGTTCATAAGACTCTTAACAAAGTCCATCCAATCTCGTTTATGGAATTTTACGTTGTGCCGTATTTTTCCAAGCTTAAAATTTTCAAGACTGATCATCTTTGGAGACCTTCATTTAACTTTGAGAATTTTGAAATTAAATGTTGTTGTTTTTCACCGGATGGATCTTTTTTTGCTGCCTTCGTTGTTGGTGACCACGTCAACATTCATATTTGGAGCATTGAACGTTGCACTATTATTCAAACTGTACCAATGCAACTGAAGGATGCATTAGGATGTTGGTGGTCAAATGGTTTACTGTGGATATGGGATGGTTCTGATCATTTTACGAAGATATCAACTTCGTCTGAAAATTTTGTAGATTCTACTCTAGCAAAGCATGTTAACATTGGATTTAAACCTAAGAAAATCTTAACATTTGGTGATGTCTTACTTTGTATTGACGAAGAAAAGTTTGTTCAAGTTGTTAGAATTACCAAGGGTGAGATACAATACAACAAAAGACTTTCCGTTGATAGTTCAAAATTTACAGCAGCAGCTGTATCCCCTGATAATTCTGTTATTTTAACTGTAAACAAAACAGAATACACATTATGGAAATGGAGAAATAACAACAATGAACTTTACTTGAAACCTTGGCATACTGCAGAAATACCCATAACAGCTGTCATTAAAAAATTTGATCAAGTAGAGGAAACTGTAGATGATCTAAAGTTCAACTGCTGTATAAGTGATAGTAAACAAGCAGTCATAGCATTTTGCATAGACACCGAAATTATGAACATTTATGTAATTAATGTTCACGAGAATGGTGATGTGAATGAGGTTTTGCATGATGTCAGTGAATTTTTACTCTCCGACTTAATCGTACACAAATCTTATTGCATTGGAAAGTCTCTTGGGTCATTGGTTGTTGTAGATTTAAAGAGTGGTGAAGTATGCGCTGAATTTGACCAAGAAGATTTTAAGCTTCATATAACTATGTATTCCAATACAGGAACTTTAGCTATGGTTGACAATTTATTTTGCATAATTCTATTTTTAAAACTTAATGTTCCTGAATAAATACATCAACTCAAACTTTAATAGTAAATTCAAAAAGCTGTTGAGAAAATTGCACATAGATGTTGATGGTCGTAAGGATGGTTGCTTGTTTCCACCTGCTATAGTTTTCTACAGAAGAAGTTTACTTATTCTACCAGGCAATCTTTAAGGAATTATCTATGTTTACCAAAAATAAATTTGGACCAATTTTGCAAAAGATGTTTTAAATTTATCGGTACTATTTCTTGGAATGTCTTACCTCCTGCTATTAAAGAATATAAAATATTATCTATGTTTTGCAATAATCTGAAACGATGTATAATTGCTTTTTATAACACAAATGACTTGTATTTAAAAAGAGCGCTTCTATACTAATTGATCATGAATATTTGTTTATTCCTTTCTAAGATTCTACTTGTAACCTTCATAAATGAATTGTCATTTAAACAGGGCATCCTTTAGAGTAGACTACTACTGTAAGATGCTCTGTCAGACTTATTAATATGTATTGTATCTCTGAAAAAATTTCATGTTGATGATTTACTTTTTAATAAAAATGTATGGTTAGATAATTTGGTTGTTTTTATTTAACAAATAGATAACATTTAACAGTTATCTATACAGTTATAGATACACGGGTATGAGGTCATTGTGATAAAAACTGAGTGGCCACGAGCCGCCGGGAAAATGAATGTTGGAAAACCGGTTTTTTTCTTTTCTTTTTGCTCAAATACGTCCATTGCTTCAACTGGACATTCTTAATATCTTTATTTGCCCATTCAGGGATATAGTCAGGTAAATATTCAAATAAATTCTCCGTTCGTTTGTCATTTAAAAACAAGAAATTTTCTGTGACCTCAATTCCGTGCATCTGTCCTCTTATAGAACATAGCTCTCGACCAATGAAATTGCTTAAATTCTTCCGGCTGTTATAAAATATTATAAATAAGGCGTTCACTACATAGAAATGAAAGAATGTCGGCAACTCATTGTGAGTCATTTGATAATATGGTGTTGTTGTAGATGAAGATTATTTTGATGAAATTATAGAGTGACTTTCTTTAGACATGCTTTCAAGAACTGTAAATACAACTTAATATCGTGGAAATAGGTTTTTATACTGTTGAAAATTCACATGTATAAAAACACCATTTGGGTTTTATGGTTACTAGTTGAAAAATGTGAGAGATCATTTTTGTACGTTTATTATGTACATATGACCTTTAAGACAGAAAATGTTATATACTGTCAACAGTTCCCGTATGTAAAAACATCATGACAATAACTGTGATGAAAATAAATAGAACTTTTACGATTTTGACATAAGTTCTTTTGAATTGTGGAATTAAATTTTTTTGAATAATAGTTTCTTGATTAAAATATTAAGGATTATTAATTCTCACTTTCCGTCTTCAATGGTTAAAATAAAATTCATCATCATGATGTTGGAGTTGATACAACTTAAATTGTACAGTTTCAATTTATGACGATTGTAAACGTCTCGTTGCATGGTTTGTGTAAAACAATTAAAAGCCATGCAGTTGGAGATATTGTGAAAGAGATTTCAGACATACACCTTCTTGCAATGGTTGAAAGTCTTTCAACATTTTGTAAGCTGTACAGGGATTTATGGACAACATGACTGCATCTTTCATAGAAAGACCATTCTTTACTGGAATTTTGACGCAATCATCCTCTTTCAATACCTTCATCTCCATCCAACTATCTTTGCAAATTTGTATCAAAAAGACAATAAAACTATTTGCTGAAAAAGTCTAATCGAGTTAACTCTAATGATTGGCTAATACCAAGTCCTGCATTTCCCATTAATACCCAGTCTCCAACACGGACAGACTTCACATCATCACCAACTGCCAACACTTCGCCGACACCCTCGTTACCACCAACTGCAGGGAGGGAAGGTTTAATGGGATACAATCCTAAATAGAAAGTGACGGACTAAGAATTTCAAGGGGGGGGAGGCATGCATATAATGGTATCAATGGCATTCCCCACCTTGAAGCACATTCAAATCAGCTGGATTGACAGGTGAAGCCAACAATTTTAGAAAAACACTTTCTCTGTTGAATTCTGGTAGAGGATTATCTTGTATACTAAAAAAAATCAAGTAGAAATCAGTGGCAGATCCAGATGAGGATTGCAGTATGTTCACAGACAGAGACAGCCTCTCCAAAACTTGGATAATTTATTGACAATCTCGTAAAAGCACTATTGCTAATGCACAGTTAATATACACGACGAGTTTTTTAAAATAGACATGTTTCGACATCTCATGATGCCATCTTCAGTATAAGTGAAATAATAAACAATACAAGGTTTATATAAAAGTAACGTAAGTTTACATAAATTACGACAATAATAAGGAAATAAGATAAATTAATGGGGAGCGTCCGAGCGTATTATAAACTAAATATTGTATTGAATTTAAAAACTTGAACATTGAGGTCAGGGTTAGTTTTGTTAATGTCGAGTGCTTCTTTGATATTGATAATAAAATTGACATGCATGTGTAGGAGCTAGCACTAAATCCTTGCATGAATTGCCATGTGTAAAATCGTCGGCTCTGACTACAGAACAACTCAACCATTTTCAAGGTAAAATTCACTGTTCACAGGAATACTTTAACCTGATAACCTTACTTGGGTCGCCATATTCTGAATAAACTAAAGCTTTAGAAGACCGAGGTATACTTTCAGACGTGATCGAAAATGTCATCGACAATTTTACAGCTTTGCTTAAAGTCAGAAACCTGAAGAGAACGCGTTGCTTCGCCCAGTCTGCAATGGTCGTAAGCAGCACCATTTTATATAATGGAATTCTGAAGGATGGGAAATAACGTCGTCCTGACAACAACCAAAACCTAATTTTAAATATTTACAATAAAAAGTCACTTCAAGATTAATTTTAAGCTATGAATTTTTGGATGGCTTCTAAAAGGGAACATAATGGAAGGTATTTCAAAGTACATCTTCATCGGTATTAATTTTAATTCGAGGCTCAAACAACAGTACAATTACTACAATACTAAATGATATCTATATAATTCTGAGTCTGAACTTCTTCATTACTATAATTTACAGCCGTCTATGAATTTATGATATAAGTTGCTTTCTCTAACATATTTCGTTTAATTTCATCGTTTTTCTTTCATAGATGCAAACGTCAAGCTGAACAAAGAGAACTTTTAAGTAAAAAACTTTCAACATCGATATCTTCTTTATAATTCACAGTTTTATAGATTACGCGCTCGAAATTTCCACTGGGTGATAATAAAGTAAATGGTTTGAACCCGGGAGTATTGTTACATGTTTGTAAATGTGGATCGTCCAGGTTGGTATAGTCCTGAGAATGACTGTTTTTGTTGTTGTTGACTCTGAAGATGACTACCGCTAAGGTTGTCGAAACGTCAGTCAACAACAACAAAAACAGTCCTTCTCAGGACTATACCAACCTGGACGATCCACATTTACAAACATGTAGGTGATAATATCATGAAAATAGAGAGCGAAAAATTAGTTATTTTGGGAAAATCATACTAATACTGGATTATTCATAAGGAAAAGGATAGTTATAGTTCTTCTTAACTCGCTGTTTTATGCAGGCATTTGTTGTTATTGAAGTCGTCATTAAAATGCAAGCGACTCTTGGGGCTTGCTTTTTAATGCATGTTTTGTTACTTTAATTGAATTTTTGTTTAATCTTAAAGTCGTATTTATTTGCAACTATAGAACTGCCTCTGAAGTAGATAATCAAATTTATGCTTTATAGTATAGTCAGAAACCTGAAAAATACAGTTTGCAAATGCTTTCATGTTAATGTACACCCTGCTGACCCAAGCATCCTCGCCATGCCTGGCCAAACATCGTAGTTCTGCCCATGTTTGTGAAATTCAATTTGATGTAAAATGGTGGGCAAGCAGAAGAATGCAAAATAATAAATTTCTGTGGACCATAAAATAATGCATAGCATGCGCGCGATACTGTAGAGAGAGATGCTCCTAGCGGAAATCGAATTTGGATAACAAAAATAAATTGTCAATGCCCAAAATAAAGCTTCAGGTAGAACAAAGAAATTCAAACAATGTGTTCTCTTAGCACAACCGACACTAGCGCACTTCAACTTTGCGTCCCTGATTTCAAAAGTTGACTTTGTACACGATGCACGCAGTACTATTCATTATTATGAAGATGTTTTGAGTAAAGCCAATTTACTGTTTGAAGATGTCTTGAATAAAGACGAAACGTCACATTAAATTCTATTTTTAAAACTCTCTATACTTTTTGGTTTATTTTCATGGCTCTATATAGAAGTATATGATAGAAGTTCAATATATCGTTGAAATTTCTTAGTGTGTGGTAAGGTGAGCACTGAGTACCCTTCAATCCCTCTACATCCATTGCTTGAATGTCGCAGGATGTGTGTTTTGCGCGGGAAATTTAAAAAGCTAAAATACAAGCATAAACAACAAGAGTCAGCAAATTATTTTTTTAAATAGTTTTAGAAAGATTATTGTATCAACGAAATAAAAAACATTTCCCTGTTCCTATTGAGTTATTGAAACACTTGTGTTCCTATTGATTTGTTGAAAGGCTTGTGTTCCTTTTGAGTTATTGAAACACTTGTGTTCCTATTGAGTTATTGAAACACTTTTGTTCCTATTGAGTTATTGAAACACTTGTGTTCCATTAAGTTATTGAAACACTTGTGTTCCCATTAAGTTATTGAAACACTTGTGTTCCTATTGAGTTATTGAAACACTTGTGTTCCCATTGAGTTATTGAAACACTTTTGTTCCTATTGAGTTACTGAAACACTTGTGTTTCCATTCAGTTATTGAAACACTTGTGTTCCCATTGAGTTATTGAAACACTTGTGTTCCCATTAAGTTATTGAAACATTGCGTGGCAAACACGAGTTCCTGAGTGTTTTTATGACTTTATTAAAACACGGAAAATGGTTTCTGATTTTTAAATATTCAACTTAATCTTAAATGAAGTTATCGTCTATCATTAAAACAATGTTATGTAGCATTATATGAATGTTACGTGCTTGAAAAGTCAAATTTACAGCTCTCAAGTATAAGTTGTTGTGTAGTTGCACAACACATTGTGCTAGCCTTAGTCGGGCAGCCTCTGTTTATATATTTGTTTATTTCCTGTTCTGTTAAACTAAGCGTTAATTCTCGCGCGTTCACGTTCAGTGCATTAAAGAAGACGAACAATTTAATGGTGAAGCATTGACTGAATTTCTATAACTTTGACTGAATTTAAAGTAAAAATGAACCAACCGCTCGGATTCTCAAAGCATTTACAAATAGAAACAATCGAACATGGCCACGGAAGCGTTGTTGTATACGGTGATATTGCAATTGTACAAGAGTTAAGAAGGAATCTTGAATTTCTAATGGAAGGAAAACCTAATGTTACCATTTCTTCTGCTAAGAGTAATAACTCGATGGCGTTGACGATAACTTCCTCAGATTACACATGTGAGTCTCAAAAACTTTATCAACTCATGAAGATGGATATTGTTCAAGTCTTAGAAAAGTGTGGATTTCAAATGACGAGCATTTGTTATGACCCATCAAGTCAAACCGAAAAGATTATAATGATGAAACCAGCATGGCACTCACCTCAGCTTAGATAGAAGAGATGATAGAAACTAGGGAGAAACTGAACGTCAATAATTTCTTTATTAATTTTCCATGTCCTTAGAATAGAAAAATTCGCAATTGTCATCAATAAAAATTGTCATGTAAAACTTCACTTGTTTTCGTCATTCCATATCATTCAATGTTCCATACGCGATTGCTTTGAAAATACGGATATTTTTTCGTCCTTTTTGAAAAAAATTTGCATCCCCACGAAGAGTGTTTGAATCGTTTTCACCTTTTCACACGTATACACAAAGACGGAGAAAATTTGTTTTTTCTAAGCACAGAACATGCGTAATGCTTGTAATAAGAAATCGTCAAGCTTTGGGAGGATAATATAATATAAAATATCTTTGCAGCGTGAAAAACCTAAGATTGTTGAAACTAGAAATCTAAACAATTACAACATTGATCATTTCAACAACCATATTTTTTACTTATTGAGAGACTCTACTTGGAATCATCGTGATCCTGATATTCTATGGGCACAATTTAAAGACATTTTTAATCACGTATCAGACATTTATGCTCCAATAAAAACTAGGAAAGTCAGAAGCACTTATTTTCCTTGGCTAACAACTCAGATTAGATGTGAGATGAACAAGCGTGATTACTTGAAAAAGTGAGCCGTTAAAACAAACTCAGAAAATGTTTACCGAGCTTATCAAGCTAAACGTAACGAAGTTAATAAGTTGGTTAAGTCTACAAAATCCCGATATTGTAGGGAAAATATTAAAATGAACAAAAATAATCTAAAAGAAATGTGGAAAAATATAAATCAAATCATTAGTGGAAATGGTCGATGTTCCAAAACTACCACAATTACAACAATCAAGGATGAAATGTGCAATAATATTTATGATGAAAAATCAATAGCTAGTCAATTGAATAAATATTACGTAGAAATCGGCCCTAAATTATCAAGTAAACTTCCAGAAAGTCCTAAAGACTTCTCTGATTACTTAAATCCGTTAGATTGTGAATTTCAATTTCTTACAATTTCTGATGAAACAGTTTACCAAAAAATATCAAAACTTAAAAGCGATAAAAGTGCTGGATTATACAAAATATATTCCAAATTTTTGAAAGATTCTGCTATTGTCATCACTCCATACCTGACCCACATATTTAATGTATTATTAGATGAAGTAAAATATCCTAACGACTGGAAACAAGCTAGAGTTTCTCCAATATTTAAATCCGGAAATAGAGAGGAGTGTAAAAATTATAGACTCATTAGCATTCTATCTACTGTTTCCAAAATTTTTGAAAAAATTATTTTTGACCAATTAAATCATTACCTTTCTTAAAACAAGATTTTATCGAACTATCTGTCGGGCTTAAGGAAAGGATATTCTACTTGTTCCTCCTTGTTGAGAACAACAAATGAATGGTTATTTAACATGGACAAGGGGTTAATAAATGGGGTATTTTTCTTGGATTTACAGAAGGCTTTTATACCGTAGATCATAGTATCTTGATAAAAAAAACTAGAACTTTATGGCATAAAAAATAATGCGCTTAGCTGGTTCATCTCATATCTAAGTAACAGAAAACAAGTATACAAGCAGAGTAAAGCTTACAATTAGTTGTTTGTGAGATTCGATACTTTTTAGTTTTTTTGATCATGTACGAAAATAAATGACGATAGAAGGGAAAGGTATGCCTTGGGATTTATTAAGACTTATATCAAATTATTATAAAAATTTATATTGTGTATGATATTATTCCTAGGTGATTACGATGCTCTACAAACATGGCCATTTCAAAAGAAGATCACAATGGTGTTAATGGCTCAAGGAAATGGTGATCACATGATTGATGCTTTTCATTCAGATCCTCGAAGTTCCTTATTTCAGCGACCAGAGTCTGATTTGAATGCATTTGGATTGCCAGTTCTAATTTCGTCGATAGACAGTTTAAGCAATCTTCCATTCATTAAAGAGAATACAATGTTTATTAAGTTAATAGTTGAATGAACAAAAAATATAAATACACTCGCTCCTGCTTCTCTACCTTAGACATTGAAAATATCTCAATTCTTTATCAATCTTAAATTAGCTTTATACTTAGGCAAACGCAACCCGACCTAAACATGTTACAAACAACTCTTCTAGCTCTTTCACGTAATTTTCTGTTGTCTGTACAAAACGCTATTTGTTGTAAAGCACTCAATAGTGTTTATATAAGTTTTTTCTTGTTTCCTTCTGGTCAGCATATCCACAGTAAAGGAATATACAACAGTAGGGCCACTTCGCTGTGCAATTGGCTGCTGTATATTTTATTAGTTTACTGGCTGCCCTTTGCCATATCGTCAGTCCTATTGGTCACAAAATGCAATTTACTGGCTGCCAATATGGTAATCACATGCGTAATAAGATATGCGTGGCACAAAAAAACTCAATGGAGTGGCCCTGCTCTACGTTCTCTATACGGTGGCATTGTCATGAAGTATATCCCCATGTTTACTTTGTAACACGGGCTCAAATGTACGTTTGGTCATATCATATCTACAGTTTTGTACTTTTGTCATTTTGTTTCATTAGAATCGAATTTTTCTACATTTGAAGCGTTTTCTTTCTCAAATTATTTCATAGCACAAACAATATTTACAAAGAATCACCTTACGTGTGTTGTGTTTCCTTATTTTATATGACAACAATGCTATTGTCATTCTTCAGGTCATTTAGAACGTTGATTTCGTCTTTTGAAAATAAAAAACTAGGACGGCTGTAGCTGCGAATACCAGATAGTGCGATGTCTTTCATTCGAGTTTTTACGAATTTTTAGTGAAAACCAGAGTGTTCATAGATGCTTTCATTATGAGTTACGGCGAAGAACTTTTCAAAGGGTGCGAGAAAATTACAGTGGCTTAACTTAGTAGGTGGAATGGCAAAATTTAAACACTTAGAAAGGATTCCTTTTTCTTTGTTGGTGATTAACCTGTTCGAGAATTGAAGACCACTTTGTCAGGGTTGATTTGAATGTTATTGTCGTTCTTAGCGCAAAGGTGAAAAGGCTTTCGATTTTTATGTGTTGGTGTTGGTTTAATTTCTTCGAGTTCTCACGATCTGAAACATTCTTGAAATGTATAAAGTCTAGTGTAGATACGGATGAAGCCAGATGAGAATGGGTCGTTGTCACTTGTGCAGATAACACGCGTATCCTGGAGTGTTTGTCGTTTATTTCTTCAAGGAGCAGTTTGCTTTGACATTGATGATAAGCGCTAGAACTACGCAGACGGCGATTTGCAACCTTGAACCACAAGAAACGTGGTATTGCTGAACGTGGTATTGTTTATGACTATGTTTAAAATTATTTGTTGAACTCTAATATTTATATTGAGAATCCGCTTTCCGCCTGGCACTTCATTGGCAACAATATTGATAAATCGATATGACAATAAAACGCGTAAAGAATTCAGAAAGTATCAAAAGCAAAATTGAGCTTAAAATTCCTTACAACATGTAAAATGCGTAAATGGCGGATCTGACGTAAGGACATAAAAAATCTGGGACACATCGCACCCTGATTTGCTTAACTGTTCTCTTCCTATTTTGAGCTTTAACGTAAGTCAGGTCCGTTTAATTTTGTAGAAATGAAATGTAAGTACTGTGTATTTACTGGCGAAGTAAGAAATTTATGGCAGAAATCAAAAGGTCTGGTTATAATCTTTGTAATGTGAATGGTTTTACCATTTGCCACTAAAAGGTTTAACCTATAGTGGCAAATTTGTTCAAAAAGGATGGTCCCTGATATCTGAACTGTATTGGTTAAATATGGAGGTTACACCATAAATGGAATGATATAAAGTTATTAAAAGAACATTGTACAACATCATACGTATGTATGAACATTATATTGGATGATGAAAACTGACTACCTTCTATAATGACTATATTCTATAAAAATGAAAACAGGGAAGTGCAAAAGAGAATGAAAAAACATGATCCAGGTTTTATAGAACTTAAATGAGTTCATAAGTGTTAAATTTTGATTGCATTAATATGAGGTTATTATGAAGGATCACTGTGGTCAATTTTTACAATTTGAATACAAACAAAAGAAATCATCTTTAAACTAGGATTTTGTGACCAAATCTTTCAATCTGTAATTCTCAATATAACGCGACCACGTTTTGACCACGTTCAATGCGTTTAAATAAAAAATCGTTAGAATCTTACGATTTCTTTTGCGTTTTAATATCGTTATGCAAAAGTAACAATGCATGATGTTGTAGAGAAGGTTAGGATTCATAAGACATTAATGAATTGAAAAACTAGACTTTAATTTTGAGGAAATCTTCATTGAATCTTGCAGTCATGTCTTGATAAGTTTAGGTTCTGAGACTGGTTTAAAGGCGTTCTGATTGACGCCACCAACATCTCCTAGCTCAAAATTATAATATTAGCGTTATTTAATGTGCTAAATAATTTAATTAATAAACAATTGACGTAATATCGCTGAAAAATGGTCAATTGTTACTAGCATTTCATATATATTAATGTAGGGAGAGCATAGTTCTTTTGTTTGGCAACAATACGTTTTGTTTTTAAAAATTAGATTTGATAGATATCCGGTAATTTGTTCAAGTACAAACAATGAATTTTAACCTTATAGAGGCCGTTGTTGCTCACAGGCAACAATCACCAAACGAGATGTGTAAGAACTTTTGAAAAGGCACGGCTCCCAGAGGGTTAAACAATCATGTGGAACAAATACATATAATGACATGCTTAACACTATTTATAAAGACATCATCCACTTCAAGCCACTTATAAGCCACGAGGCGTCATGGAAAGTAAATGTTGGTCATATGAGGTGGAACAAGACTTTACAAATAGATGACAAGTATAAAGATTGGTGATTGTGCCAAGCAAAATAAGGTTGTTGCCTTCAACTTTCCTCGAAGTCTAGTTACCGAAACACGTCTCAATTGATTACAGACGTACTTAAACGTGTTGATAAAAAATCAAGACCGCCAATATCTGAATGCTCCTGAACAAGGAAATACCACACATATTTAAACATTTGAAAGCCACGATGTACAGATATATACTATCAGTATTACATCCTAAGTGTTGATAGCAGCAGCAAAAAGAAATTTGAAAGAGGAAAACCGTTATGACATATGATACACACGAAGTTACCTGTTTCAAAATCAAGTATGAAAATAGATCCTACGGCTGGAAACTACAAATGTAAGTGACTAAACTGACGATAAATGATATTTTGTATTTGAAACTCTCAATGCATAGAAATGCAGTTTTCATAGATTAAGGTGTAGATTTGCAATGAACGAGAGCCGTAATTGTTTTTTGCTCATTTTTCTACGATTCTCTACTATATTTTTATTAGTAGAACCTCGGGGGAAACAGAACGCCCTTAAATTCTCTCCTAAACTTAACTTAGCAACATACGATTGATGTTTCAATGAATATTTGGACAAGATTAAAGTCCAGTGTATAAATTCATTATCGTCTCATGAATCTTAACCTACAACATATTGCATCTTTGCTTTGCATAACGACATTAAAACGCCAAAAAAATTGTAGATTCTAATAAATTTTTTGTTCAAATACATAGAAGGATTACTTATTGTCTTACTGAAAAGTGAAAAGCTCCTAAGGAGCCAATCACAAAAAAAAATTTTAGTCATGACGTAAATTAAGCAAATGTTAACAACAAGAACTTAGTCACTTAAACGTTGTAGAAAGAAAGGTGAATTTTGTCTTTTTACTGACGGATTACTGAAGTATGAGTTGCATGGAATAATCAACTAGTCTTAAGTGTAGGACTCGTAATATGAAAGCTTTCAGTGTAAAATGCTTTGATAACGATGTAAAGCCTTTGATCGTTTGAAACTTAATACATCTTTCAAACTTAACCAACTAAAGCTATTTGTGCAATGTGAATGTTCTACCATTTGGATAGTCAAAAAGAAAACATATAACAATTTGCTCATTCTCAATATATCTGATTAAGAATTTAAAAACGCAAAGTAACGTCATATGAAGAGTTCTTCATCACGAAATGTCGTACAGGTGTTTCATATTTTCTTATATTGTAGATCCCACATGGATGGAGTTGTGAAAGTCCCTTTACCACCTGTGTCATTCACTTCAATTACTCTTACTAGTTTGTCATTACTCATGTGTCATGGTGATTCATGGCCAAGAATGTTCATTTGTAGTTTGGATTTTATGTGGATGTCGGTTGTTTGTTCATATAATGATGATGGGCCCCATTGTTATATGAACCCACCTAAAGGTGGTCAACTGACATTCATAGGAGATCAAATCTGCACTAAGCATTCTTTGAGTAATGATATTACTTGGGTATTGAAGTGATCCCTTTTCCTTCACTTGAAGTTACCATAAGAGTGCATTGTAAACAGTAATCTATCGAAATGGGGATTCATAATACCAGTAGCCTCTCTATTGGTTACGTTGATAACTTTGTGTATGGAATGGTACAAACATATTGAATGGACATTGGCTAACGGCATTTGTACATGTGAACATTAATATTGAAATGATTGGACCATAATCTATGAAGATGGAAAACAAGCGAGTGGAAAAACATGATCCATGCCTTGTGGTTTGTAAGTTGAGTAGATGAGCTTTAAAATTAACTTATAGCTATGAGTAACTGCATGAGCTATTCAAAAAGGATCCCGATGGTCTATTTTTATAATTTGAACCATAATCATGAAAAACACCCATATTAGCTAAAAAAATGTCAATAAAAGATGTCAATTGCTGTGAGAAAATAGCTGGCTTTCACTCGTTACTTTTTACTAATTTTATTAAACGTTTAAAAACAAAATTGCAATACTGCAAGTAGGGTTCATTGAATTTTTAAGATAAAATGTTACGATATACACGTTACGATACACACGTAAAAACTGCGCTGTGAAAAAAGTGTAAGAGACCTATTGAGGCGCCTGGATCCGACGGAGCAAGACAATGCATGAAAATCAGGTATTAAAGTTTTTTTCTTTTCAAAATATATAATTTCTGTTCTTATTCATACATTATGCTGACATTTATAATGTGTTTTTTATAGAGTAGCTATATCTGTAGAGGTAATAACTAGACACTGAAAGAACGATCAAGTTGGACAGAAGCACGAAGAAATAAGCGTCCTTATTGAAAGATTCTCACTTGCGACTTTCGTTATGCATGCTATTATTCAGTATAACGCATTTTTAAATTCAACCGTTAAAAATTTCCGCAAAACTAAATTTTTACAATTGTCAAATTTTCGGACAAAACACACGAGTGAAAGCCAGCTATTAATGAAGGTCTTAATGAAGCAACATGGAAATTTTGATAGAATGAAATCTAGTAGACATCAAAAATAATTTGCATGCAAGTCACGACGTCACTTTGGTCATTTCATTTTTCATTGTTATTGGTAGGTGAATGATCAGGTCGAACGTACTGAATGAATTTTTCATATGATTTATGTATGAGCTGCTATTAATTTTTTATTTTTCGTCTGTTCATTAAAATTTTTGTTAACACTCTGCACTCTTTCATTTTTTGTTCCCTACTAAAGTTTCTTTTGTTCAAACACAAAATATTTGTGGTGTCAATAAATAGGATAGTCAGCCGACTTTTTTGTCGCCGCTTTTTTTGTCCCTTTACAAATTTAAGATACGAACGACGTAGCTACGATCTGAATATGCTGCATGTTAAAGTAGATCATCGGGATCATTGAAAACAACAAAAATATAAAACATCTTAAAACAACAAAAATTTTACTAAATTTTTCTAAATTTTTATGTTTTTATTTATTGGAGGGTTTTTTACCGGATCCACCGGTTTTCCCTCCCATTTCGTTTTGTTTTGGAAAAAAAACAGTGTCCACATTTGGGGCCAAGCGAAGTGATTTGTCATAACAGCATTTATTGCAACTATTATGAATATTCACACTTATTTTTTATTTCTCGGCCTTTGGGTATATTTCCCAAAACACTGCGTTTAATATATATAATGGCAATCATTTTGGAAAAAAAAATGCACTCAAGTTTTCTACTCAGTCAAATCTTCTAAGACAAATTTTTTTAATCTTCGGCATCAACCGACTCAACGAGAAAAGGAAAATAATTCTATACAGTATGGAAGTGTGATTTGGGTACATAATGAAAATTGCATGATTCTTTCATTTCACAAAGGAGTCCTTTTTGCTTAAAATATTGCTTTAAACATAAGCAATGTGACAAATTTTTACATTCATCACGGTAATATTATTGTACCAAAGGTATTAGCTCACACCATTGGACAATTTTCTCCCCTACCATGAAGTGAGATGTTTTATGCCTATACCAAATACATTCCCAATGATATAGAGAAAAATGATAACACCAAATACACAGAGATTATTCTTGATATTAGATAGTTTGAGATTGAGATTTTTAAACTACAATGGGCTTCTCAACGTCACTGCACATCTGAGACTAGCATTATGTTAATGAATATTTTCATGACATCCTTTACTGTTGTATCGACAGTGTTCTTTCTCATAGCTTAGTAATTATACTTGCGTGCAGTTGATGTTTGAAATGTATTCCTAAGTTACAATGGTTTATTTAATAACAAAGGTTTTTTATAATATGAAGTGACTTGTGCAATGATATGCATGTATGGAATTTTTGATAAATAACGTAAAAAAAATCCGTTTACAGCTTCCGAAATCGTTTCATAATCATTGACATTTAAATCTTGCCTTAGATAAGTGATTATCAATTCATGAGTTAAAACTTTATAAGATTTAGCAGTAGTCCTTTGGAATTTGATAATGTCAATGTTATTATGTACTCTGCATGAGGTTCATATTTATGTATTTTTATTTCTATAACAATTGTTTTTAGTCAGTGATGTATACTTAATTATATAACTAGAATGTTCTACATAGACGTCATTAATGTGTTTTAATACTGTTTGTTGAAGGAGATTCTGACTCACTCTTCATCTTCAATAGCTATTTAAAAAAGTTTATGTTACAAAACTTACATGAATAAAAGATTGATGTAACAATAAGGTATGAATTATGATCACCATTCTTAAATTGATATGTATATGGTCGCGTTCTTTATATTAAATCTCTCATCTTTGTAAGGTATGCGACATGTAAATAACTAAAGCAAGCATAATTTTGTCTTCACGGACGTCATATATGAAGTCTTATTTCTAAAACAAAGGTAATTTGTCAAAAGTAAAGCGACTTTCTGAAACTATATTACTAAATTTACATAACAAATTTGCTACTAAAGCATCTCGATAATGTATGACTTAACATTCAAGAGAAATCATATTTAAGTTGATACACCAACATTCTAGTTATTGACATTAAGCTGCAGGGTAAAGGCAGTAAAACCTGTTCAAAAATATGTGGGGGATGCAGAAGGACATGAGAATATTTTCTACATGTAGGACGCTGAATTTTTCTTTATAAAACTGTACTTGTCTATGGAAAAAATGGGAATCTGTGAAAATTTATGTAGGGAGGAAAGCATGTCCAATCATGCATCTTCTCCCTTTTTCGCCGACGCCACTTTTGACTAATCTCTGTGTCGCTAGCAAAATGTTGATAGTTGTATACAACAAACTATTTCTTTTAAAAGCAAGAAAATTTGAAAAATAAGCAAATGTTAAACACGGGAAGAATGTATTTACACAGAGAAAAAACGCAACCGAATCTATTTTTGTGAATTGTCGATTCATGCAACACAGTGAGCTTTTAAAATTATAATTTAATTTTGTTTATCTAGCAGTCTTAAGGTTTACTTTTATTTCATTCTTTACTAATGTATCTACAGTGTCTTTATTGATCATAAGTAATTATAATTGCGTGCAGTTGATGTTTGCCATGTATTTATAATTTACAATGGTTTATTCAATAACAAAGGTTTTTTTATGACAAGAACTGATTTATTCAAAAATATACATGTATGGAATTTTTCATTAATAAAGGGAAAAATCCATTCACAGTGTCGAAAATTGTGTCTTAATCATTAGAATTCAAATCTTTCTTTGATAAGGGATTCTCTATTCCTGAAATAAAACTTGTGAAACTTTATAAGATTTAGCAGTATAGTCCATTGGAATTTGACTAATCTTAATGTTATTATGTACTCTGCATGAGATTCTTATTTATGTATTTTTATTTCGATAACAATTGTTTTTTTTGTCAATGATGTATACTTAGTTATATAACTAGAATGTTCCACATAGAAGTCATTAATGTGTTTTAATACTGTTTGTTGAAGAAGATCCTGACTCACTCTTCATCTTCGTTCGTGATTCAAATGTGTTTTTGTAACAAAACTCACAAGGATAAAAGACTGATGTTACAATAAGGTATGAACTTTCATCACCATTTTCAATCTGATATGTACGTGGTCGCGTTGTTTATATTAAATCTCTCATCCGTTTGTTAAGTATATGACATGTAAAGAATTAAAGCAAAGATAATTTTGTTCACATGGTCGTCTTACTTCTAAAACGGAAGTAATTTTACAAAAATTAAGTGATATTTTAGAATTAAACTACAGACATAACAAATTAGCTAAGCAGCATCTCGATAAAGTATGACTAAACATGCATGAGAAATCATATCTAAATTTATATACCAACTTTCTAAATATTGGCAATAAAGTGCATGGTAAGGAAAGCAAAACCTGTTTAAAGGTATGGGAGAGGTGAAGTAGCATACTCGTCTATGAAAAAATGGGAATCTGTGAATATTTATGTTGGGAGGGCCACGTGTCCAATCATGCATCACCTCCCTTCTTGCCGACGCCACTTTTGACTAATCGCTGTGTGTCTAGCAAAATGTTGATAGTTTTATACAACAAACCATTTCTTTTAAAAGTAAGAAAATTTCAAAAATAAGCAAATGTTAAACACAGGAAGAATGTATTTACACAGAGAAAGACGCAACCGAATCTATTTTTGTAAATTGTTGATTCATGCAACACAGTGAGCTTTTAAAACTATAATTTGATCTTGTTTATCTAGTAGTCTTGAGGTTTACTTTTATTGCATCCTTTACTGTTGTATCTACAGTGTCTTTATTTATAAGTAATTATAATTGCGTGCAGTTGATGTTTGCCGTGTATTCATAGTTTACAATGGTTTATTCAATAACAAAGGTTTGTTATAAGAACTGATTTATGCAAAAATATAAATGTATGGAATTTTTTATTAATTAAGGGAAAAATCCGTTCACAGTTTCGAAAATCGTGTCTTAGTCATTGGCATTCAAATCCTGTCTTAGATAGGCGATTCTCTATTTTTTAGTTAAAACTTGTGAAACTTTTTAAGATATAGCAGCAGTCCTTTGGAATTTGACTAATCTCAATGTTATTATGTACTCTGCATGAGGCTCTTATTTATGTATTTATATTTCTATAACAACTGTTTTTAGTCAGTGATGTATACTTAGTTATATAAATAGAATGATCTACATAGATGTCATTAATGTGTTTTAATACTGTTTGTTGAAGGAGATCCTGACTCACTCTTCATCTTCGTTCGTTATTCAAATGTGTTTATGTGACAAAACTCACAAAGATAAAAGATTGATATTACGATAAGGTATGAATTATCATCACCATTTTTAAACTGATATGTATGTGGTGCATTCTTCATATTATATCTCTCATCTTTGTAAGGTATGTGACATGTAAAGAAATAAAGCAAGCATAATTTTGTCTGCACATTTGTCATAAATGAAGTCTTATTTCTAAAACGAAGGCTATTTATCGAAAGTAAAAGGAGATTCTGAATCTATGGTGCCGGTGCAGTGCTCTGAATCTATGATGCCGGTGCAGTGTGTGACTTCATAATTCTGAATCTATGTTGCTAACTTTGCATAACAAATATGCTACTAAAGCATCTCGATAATGTATGACTAAACATTCAAGAGAAATCATATTTAAATTGATTCACCAACTTTCTAACTATTGACAATAAGCTGCATTGTAAAGGACAGTAAAACCTGTTCAAAACTATGGTGTAGGCAGAATAACATGAGAACATTTTCTACATGTAGAACGCTGAATTTTTCTTTATAAACTATATTTGTCTATGGAAAAAGGTGGATCTGTAAAAATTTATGTAGAGAGGGGCACATGTCCAAACATGCGTCACCTCCGTTCATTGCTGACGCCACCTTTGACTAATCGCTGTGTGTCTAGCAAAATGTTGTTAATTGTATACAACAAACCATCTTTTTTGAAAGTGAGAAAATTAGCAAGATACGCAAAAATGAGACGCAGGAAGAATGTATATATACATAGGTAGAACGCAACCGAATCTATTTTTGTGAAATGTTGATTCATGCAGCACAGTGTGCTTTTAAAATTATACTTTTAATAATGTTAGTTTAACAGTTTTAAGGTTTACTTTCATGGCATCCTTTACTGTTGTATCTACAGTGTTTTTATTGAACATATAAATAATTACAATTTCTTGCAGTTGATGTTTGAAATGTGTTCATAATTTACAATGGTTTATTCAATAACAAAGGTTTTTTATAATAAGAACTGATTTATGCAAGAATATACATGTATGGAAGTTTTTATTAATTAAGGGAAAAATCCGTTCACAGTTTCGAAAGTCGTGTCTTAGTCATTAGCATTAAAATCCTGTCTTAGATAGGCGATTCTCTATTCCTGAGTTAAAACTTGTGGAACTTTATAAGATTTAGCAGCAGTCCTTTGGAATTTGACTAATCTCAATGTTATTATGTACTCTGCATGAGTTTCTTAGTTATGTATCTTTATTTCTATAACAATTGTTTTTAGTCAGTGATGTATACTTAGTTATATAAGTAGAATGTTTTACATAGGCGTCGTTAATGTGTTTTAATAATGTTTGTTGAAGGAGATCCTGACTCACTCTTCATCTTCGTTCGTTATTTAAATGTGTTAATGTGACAAAACTCACAAAGATTAAAGATTGATGTTACAATAAGGTATGAATTATCATCACCATTTTTAAACTGATATGTATGTGGTCGCGTTGTTTATATTAAATCTCTCATCCCTTGATTGAGTATGTGACATTAAAAGAACTAAAACAAGCACAATTTTGTTCACATGGTCGTCTTACTTCTAAAACGGAAGTAATTTAGAAAAATTAAGCGATAGTTTGGAATTTCACTACAGACATAACAAATAAGCTAAAGCGGCATCTCAATAAAGTATGACAAAACTTGCATGAGAAATCATATCTAAATTTATATACCAACTTTCTACCTATTGACAATAATTTGCATGGTAAAGGAAAGCAAAACCTGTTCAAAAGTATGTGGAGAAAGAATAGTATGATTGTATTTTC